AACTCCAAGGAGCAACTAGCTGATGTTCTCACAAAAGGGCTTTCATGCTTGTGGCACAATGAGTTATGTGGCAAGTTGGACATGATAGATATATTTAGCCCAACTTGATGGGGAGTGTTGTTAGATTTAGTTTTGTTTTTGCTGTTAGAGTGCTGTCAGTCCAGGGTGCTGTCAGCATGTTCTTTTCTTTGTTTAAGTTTTTTTATTATTAGGGTGTGCCACTAGGGGCATATTTGTAATTCCCTTTTCTTTTATTTTTACATCATGTTATATAAATTAGAAGCTGGGCACCGCCAGCCCAACCTTTTGACTCCCAAACATTTTTCTTCCTCTTTTCTTCTCTTCTCTCTTCTCTCTTCTCTCCTCCCCTCTCGCTTCTATTTCTCTTCTAGAAAGAAAACAAATTCCATGATTTTTGGGTTATTTGATTTTTTTTTTAACTTGGTGTATTAGGAATTTGGTTTAACTTTTAATCATTTAGAATTTACTATTCTTAGAAAAAAATCAAAGTTTCTATACATACTAGTTTTTAGGCTTAGTATTTTTGGTATCCCTTTAATTACTACTTATAGTAAAATCTTAATTTACTTTATAATTTCTGGTGTTTTTAGGACCAATGTTTTAAAACGCGGAGGCGTGATGCAATGCGTTCCACTACCTAGAGGCGTGAGGTGTAGTTCAGAACGCAAGAGGCGTAAGCCTCCCGCCTCCTTAAGAGGAGGGGGGTTAGGAGGATGAAGAGGAAGGGGGATCTCATTCTTTCTTTATTTTTAATAAAAATCTTTTATATTAAGAAGAATAAAGATGCATAACATTAGTTCAAAGGGGGGTCTTGTCGAAGCGGAGGTGAGCGAGCGAAGCGAGACCCAAAGCAAATTGGGCTGCATCAAATAGGGGGCGGGGGGTCTGGGGGGCGAAGGGGCAAGGGGCAAACCACTTTCTTTCTCCTTATCTTTTCTTCCCTTTTCTTCCCTTCCCTTTCCTTTCCTTTTCTCTTTTTCTTCTTCTCTTTCTTTTTCTTTCCCTTCCCTTCCCTTCCCTTCCCTTTCTTTTCCTTTCCTTTCCTTTCCTTTTTTTTCTTTTTTCTTTTTTCTTTTTTCTTTTTTCTTTTTTCTTTTTTCTTTTTCTGTCTTTTTATATCATATGTGCATGAGGCGTACGCCCCTAGCATGCCTCATTAAAAAAGCGCTACACCTCTTGCACCTGAGGCGTATGCCTCAGAGGTGTCAGCACCTCTGGCATACGCCTTAGGGCATTTTGGGAGCGCCTCGCATGGAGGCGCGCCTCCAGGCATACGCCTCCCACGCCTTTTAAAACACTGTTTAGGATAACTTATGAGAATGCTCTAAGGAGGTTTTTTGGGAGGAATTGGACGGTGTGAGAAACAATTGGGAGAAGCCATGGATTGTGAGTGGAGATTTTAACACAATAAGGTTTGAGCATGAAAAGAAAGGTGGTAGTGGGGTGTCCCGAGGGGTAAAGGACTTTACAGAGTTCATTAATCACTTGAGTTTAATGGATATTCCTCTGTTGGGATCAAAATACTCTTAGACAAATAACCAGGAAGACCCAACTTTAGTTAAACTAGACAGATTTGTGGTTTCAACTGATTGGTAAGAAAAATTTGGGCAGTTATCCTTGGAATCTCTTTCCTACCCATTATCTAATCATACTCCAATTTGTTTGGATAGCAAAGGAATTCTCCCATAGCTTTCCCCTTTCAGGTTTGAAAACCTGTGGCTGGAAGAGGATGGTCTTGTGGGGCTAATGGATGTCTCAAATGCAGTTTGATGGCTCGGCCAGCCATATAATTAGCAAGAAACTAAAAAAGGATCGAAGAAAAAACTAAAAGTTTGGAAGAAACTAGTGTTCAAAGGGGTGGAGATAAAAAAGAAAGAATGCTTATACCTCATTGTGGAAGTTGATAGAAAGAGAATTCTCCATTCACAGAAGAAGACAAGAGTAAGAGAGCCAGAGACAAATTGGAGTTTGACAAACTAACTTTCCAAGAGGAAATTAAGTGGGGACAGTGATCAAAATGTTTATGGCTGAAGGAGGTAGATACAAACACTAGGTTTTTTTTTTTTTTTTTTTTTTTTTTCACAAAATGGCAAATGCAAGAAGGTGTGAGAACACAATTAAAAAGATGGTGTGGACAGGGAAGTAGTAGAAGAGGAGACAGGTATAAAAGCAGCAACAAAGCAGTTCTTCTACAATCTTTATAAAGAGAATTGGAAGAGCAGGCCAAAGTTGGATGGACTAGCGTTTAGTGGTTTATCAGAGGATCATGCTAGAAATTTGGAAAGAGATTTCTCCAAACAAGAGGTGTGTTTGGCAATAAATGAGATGGAAGGAGATAAATCTCCAGAGCCTGATGGTTTTACAATGAAGTTTTTCAAGAGATGCTGGGGTTTTCTCAAGGAAGATATCATGAAGCTTTTCTCAAAATTCCACTCTTCTGCAGGTTGGGAAAGAAGTCTAAATTCCACTTTTATCACCCTTTTACCCAAGAAAAAAGGGGATGTAGATATGAGGGACTTTCGACCAATTAGCCTCATTGGGAGTGTTTACAATATTTTGTCCAAAGTCTTGGCCAGGAGGCTAAAGCCAGCAATGAGCATGATTATCTCAGACTTCCAAGGGGCTTTTATTGAAGGGAGACAATTGACAGGTGGAGTTTTGGTGGCAAATGAAATTATAGATTCTCGGTTAAGAAGTGGGAGAGCCGGTTTGCAGTTTGCTGTGTATGATGGATTTGGAAAAAGCATATGACCATGTAAATTGGGAATTTCTGGATTACTTTGTGAGGAGAATGAGTTTTAGTTCCAAATGGAGATATTGGATGAGGGTTTGTATGACTACTCCATTCTCAGTTTTAGTCAATGGTGTGGCTTGTGGTCAGTTCAGGAGTTCAAGGGTTTTGAGACAAGGGGATCCATTATCCCCTTTGTTATTTTTATATGTAATGGAAGCTTTGAGTCTGTTGATTTTGAAAGCAGCTAGGGGCAGTTTTTTGGAGGGTTTCACAGTGGGGGAAGGAAAGACTAGAGATTCCTCTCCTTCAGTTTGATGATGATTCAATGCTTTTATGTGATGTTTCTTGTGAGCAATTAGAGTATCTGATGGGAACCTTATGGTGGTTTGGAGCAGTCTCAGGGCTGCATCTAAATACCTAGAGGATGTTCTAGGTAGGTCAAAGGTCAACTAGCAATAGGACACTCTAAAATATCTGCAGCAAAGTTCAGTACCTCTTCCTCCAAGTTGATTCCTGCTATGCAGCTCTTATCAAGATTGACTTTCAGATTACAGATAAGCTCAAACTTCTTCACCAGCTCCTTCAAATTCCTTACCATTTCTTCCTCTCCACCCTTATAGAAAATTATAATATCATCAGCAAAGTGTAGATGGGTAATTGAGACCCTCTTTCTTCCAATTTTCTATCCTTTTATTATATTCTTTCTATTGGCCTTTAAGATCATTCTACTAAACACATCAACTACTAGGGTTATTTTAATTGAATTTTTAGAGTTAATTTAATGGCATAAAGTTTTGTTTTGAAGTGTTAGTGTGATCTTCCTCTCTGTTTACTTCTGTAAGTGCATTATTTACCTCTTTTTGTTGATAAATCCTTATTGTGTTTTAGTTGGCTAGTTGAAGACTCTTTGCATTATTTCTATGCGCTACCACTTTTCTGGAACTTGCATTAGTGACACATGTAGGACATTTTTGGTAAGAGTGGTTCTGTCACTAAATGACAGGTTTGTATGCTTCCATACTGTCAACATTTTGTTAGTTCTTTTTAAAATTGGATTCCACACTCTTACCACTCTAGAAAGAGTAGAAAGGGAAGGCAGGTAAGTTGATCTGTTTTGGTTCTTTTGTGGTAGAGGTTCCGTCAAAGTCGACTCAGGAGGGGAGCTTGGCTTCGCTTGATTTGGGTTTTGATAAGTTAGGAGAAGAAAGAGAAGTAAAGGAGGTATGTTTAGGGGATTGAGAAGAGGAAGTTGAAAGAAGGGAAGGAAGGATGGGAGGGGAGGTTTTTAAGAGGTGCCAAAACAAGAGTTTGGAAGAGGGTGCAGGTGAAAAAGGAGATAAAGATTTACCAGTAGTTTGTGAGGAGTTTCTAAAGTTGGAAGTTCCTGTTGATAGGCTTGGAGTTGAAATGGGACGAAGAAGGATTGCTGTGAACAAAGGAGTTGATGATACATCAGAGGTGTTGAAGAAAGTTAGAGACTCAAGTAAGGCCCATATTGTTCATCTTTCTAACTTCCAAGGTCTTTTCAAGATTAAAGGATGGCCTGATTAGTGCTTGCCCTACAAACAAATTTAAGATGGCATACAAGAAGAGAGGGACAAAGTTCAAAAGTTTGAAGAAGAAGGCAGAAAAGGAATGGGAGGTTAAACCACAAGTGTCAATGGAGGGGGAGACACAGCGGTTGTCTTCTGTTGAGAAAGGAGTGAAGGCTGAATCAGGATCAGAGGAAAAGATTGATGAAGGTGGTAAATACATTGATAAGAACATAACTGAGGTTCAGCCAATTAATGTGAAAGAGAAGGGGGGGGGAGTGGAGATTGAAAAATGGGCCAAAAGAGACGTTAGGGTTCGCAAGGGCTTAGGTTGGTTGGTTTGTTTTTTTTTTTGGAGGGGAGGAGTTTGCTAGAAGGGCTTTCGAAGCTTGTGAAAGGAGTACGAAGGAAGAGAATTTGAAAAAGATCATAGCAAGGAGAGATAAATGAGTGGGATGAGGAAAGGGACAGGCAAGATGATGTGTTTGAAGGAGATGAATAAGCTGCTTATGGCTGGGAGGTATTTTAAAGGATAGAATATGGTGACCAAGAATATTTATCCATCGGTATATATTGTATGTATGTATATGTGTATGCATTGCCTTTGCTAGCTTGCCCTGACATATCTTGTTAGTTGTTCTGGTATTTTCGTATTGGTGATGCATTTTGATATTTTTTACCCCGCCATTGATGTCTTGGATTTTCATCTCTAGGGATGCTACGTTGGCTTACAAGGCAGAAGCACTGGAATTGCAGAAACAGCTTAGCTATTTACAGACCCAATTTGATTTGCTCACGGGCCAAGCTTCAGCTTTGATTCAAGGAAGAAGGGCAAGGGTAGCAGCAACATCAACAGTTAATGGACAACTTACTGCATTAGATGATAGGCTTTCAGCTAGAAATTTAGAGGTAATTGATATAGTTAATTTGGCAAAAGTAAATGCATTATTGATTTAATGATAATGTAACTTGATTCAACCTTTATATGCTAATGTGATTGAAATAGTACAGCTGTTCTCTGTTGAGGTTGGAAATGCAAGCATGTATTGATGTCTACTTGTATAGTAATGACTTCAAATCATATGGACGATATCAGTTACAAAATTGTTTGCTCTTGTTTCTTTTGATTGTTTTTTTTTTTTTTCTGATCGCCAAGAAATTGATTCAGACTTTTATTCATTTATGAAATGAATCACATAATGCAGTGTACAGCGAAACCCGTAAAAAATGCAGAGTACAGCAAACATCATCATCATAATCATCATCCTTGCCTTATCCCAGCTATATGGGGTTGGCTACATGAATCCTGTTTCGTCAATCCATTCTAATGATTCTATTTAAAGCCCGTGCATATCACTATCTACTCTGGAAGCTCCCAGTACACACAGATCAATGTGCACCATTCCTAGCAAGGGAGTCTGCCATCTCATTGCTCAACTCAACTCAACTCAACTAAGCTTTGTTCCAACTATATGGTGTCTGCCATCTCATTTTCTGATCTCCTAATTTACTTCAATGATCTGACTATTCTAGCAGTTAGGGATCTCATTCATCTGATTTGATGGTGGTATGTCCATGGCTTTTCTTTCTCATTCCTCATCCATCAAATGACAACTTGAAATCCCCTTCTACCTCCAATTTGGTGTGGCCTAAGGAGAAACTCAACCTCCAGCCTTGGAGGAGGAATGATAGGCTATGTTACCTGGATATGGCAAGGATGCAGATTGATATGTTATTGGATACTAAAATTTACATTGGGAATTGAGGATGCGGCTGGATATGGTATTGGATACAAAATTTACAGTGAGAATTAAAGTATCCAATATGATATGGCACCCTTGTACGGGTATCTGGGTATCATAGATGATAAGAACTATGCTTTGTTGGAAGTCCCTCCCTAATGGGCCTGTATATTCTAGTATCACAGCTCACAAGTGATCTTTAATATTGTTTCTATTATCCAAGTACAAAACAGAGAGAAATGAGAGAGAAAGAGAGGGAAGAGTGGAAAGAAGAGAAGAAGAGAAAAAGTACTGGAGGCTCAAAAAACTAGGCTGACGATACCTAGTATATTATTTATATTAGGGTGGCAGTACAAATGTACAATAAAGGTAAAAAGACAATAGTGTCACTACGACACAAATAACAGAATACAATAAAGGTAAAAAGACAATAGTGTCACTACGACACAAATAACAGAATTTATAGAACTCTCCCTCAAGTTAGGTTGTAGATATCAATCATGCCCAACTTGTTACAATCCGTAGACTATTTAGGCCCTTTGTGAGAACATCAACAAGTTGCTCCTTGAAATTGACATATGGAGAACACAATTCTCCCTTCTCAAGTTTTTCTCTAATAAAGTGCCTCTTCTCTACTCTACTCTCCCCCTGAGGAAATGATAGGAGCCTAAGAAGAAGGGCTCTCTGTCAAAAGGGTCACGTCCAAGCTAGATCTGCTTCTCCTCTAAGAGGAAGGATGCCCAAGGAAGACACATGGGATGGCTTTAGGGTCTAACTTACCACATGAAAGGAGATAGGTGATGGACAAATCAACAATACCTAAAGACATGAAGAGGTATAGAACACAACAGGAACTGAAGAAACAATTTATGGGTGTGAGCTGTAATTTATCATATAAGAATTTTCACACAACAAGCTTGGTTCCATGCAGTGATTTAAAAGGTGCGCCTAGGCGCACAGGCTAGGCGCATTTTAGGGTATGCGCCTTGCCCAAATCCTAGTTGCACCCCTTTCAAAAGGCACACACCTGATGTGCCTTGTGCCTCAGCCCAGGCGTGTCCTTTTTAAAATTTTGTGCTTTTTGCTTTTTTTTTTTTTTTGAGCCTAACGGCTTGGCCGGGGCCCCCGGCCCCCCTATTTGTTAATGTTATTCATTCCAATAAAATTTCTTCTTAAAAGGCAATTAAAATTATAAAATCATTATTTTTATGTGATAAATAAGAATTTAAGACCCTAACATGGACTTGTTCGGGCTTGCCTCGAGGGGCGTGGTACAAAGGCGACTCATAGAGTCATGAGTGCATTATGTTTTACATCACATTAGCTACTTGAAGTAACGCAATTGTGGAAAAAAAGAGATTGTGGGTTTTACATACTTGAAAATGCTTTATATGTTTGCTTTTATTTTTAAATTTTCATTTGAATACGCTTTACATGTTATGTTTATGTTATTTAATTTTAGATAATAGGTTTTTTGAAACATTTATTTTAAAATTTACGTTTATATTTTTTATTAACGTTATGTTTAATATTTTTTTTGATTTTTTTTTGCATTTTTCAAAATTATTTTTGGCATTTTTTGAATTTTCTGACATTTTTTTTTGTAATTTTGCGCCTTGCCTTACACGTTGTGCCTCAGGCGTAAATTGGCCCTTTCACTTTTTTTGCGCCTTGTGCTTTTAAAACACTGTTCCATGACATTTTCAAGGTTCTCTGACTTGTTTGATTGTGTTTAGATGAATGCAGTTCTTGGAAGAATTGCTTCTACTGCACAGGAGTTGGCTCACTGTCATTCCGGTGATGGTATTCTCTTCACTTTAACTCTTAAGCTTAAGGCTGCATTTTTTTTTTCATTTTACTTCATGTATTTCCTGGATTTTTTACTTAATAATTATTTTGCTATATGGTAAGGGAGATTATTTGGTCTTGTTCTCTAGACTTGTGAAATATATGAAATCAAAGGCTGAAAGAATATATAACCAAATATAATAGAAAAGGTAGAAAATAAGGTGAAACTTCACTGAATAATCTTCTTTTGATAGATGAGGTATGAAATTGTATTAATCAATCCATTTAAAACAGAACATCCTTGCCTCCAAGGTGTCCTTTCTTGTTATTTATTATTTGCTGCTTAATTCTCCTAAAACCCTAACTCCCTACCCTTTAAATGAACTAAGGGTCCGTTTGGTTCGCAGTCGGAATCGAAACCAAAATCCTTCGGAATCGGAATGGTCTATTCCCATAGTCTGTTTGGTTCAGACTGGAATGGGAATGTGAATTGGACTCAGCAGGAATGGGATTTCATTCCCAAGGGAGGGGCAGGGAATGGCCATTCCCTCAAATGGGGGAATGCCATTCCAGCAGGAATGGGATTCCAATTCAGGACCCCTATTCCTGTGACTGAAACGGGGCCTAAAGACGTTTGGGTCTCTATACTTACAGATAGGTAAATAAAACTCAGCTAAGCGTTATCCACCCCCCCTCCCCCCCCNAAAAAAAAAAAAAAAAAAGAAAAAAAAAAGAAAAGAAAAGAAAAGAAAAGAAATCAACTAAGTTTTCTCCCAACTATCAATAATCATGTAAAATCCCAAGTAAAATCATTAGCTTCCTCTGGCAATAGCTACTAATGAATCTATTTTTTCTTAACATTCTAGAACAGTCGGTGGGATTTGGATACCACATGGTGCAACCTTGCTTCAAGGATTGTCAATTGCTTGATGCAAGAAATCAGAAATTAAAGGAAAACCATAACTAAACTTTCCAAACAAAAAACCCGCATCAAGTGAGAGGAAAAAACTCTCACAATATTAGCTGAAATTGCACTACATGAACAAGGGGGGATCAAGTATAGGCATTTTTTGCTATATTAGTCATTGTTTTCACCATCTGACGTGTTTTGACTATAACTTCCCTATGCAGAGGATGGAATTTACCTGGCTTACTCTGACTTCCGTTCATACTTGAATGGAGATTCTGCTTGTACAAAGGAGCTAAAGCAATGGTTTGTGAAGCAGTTTGAAATGGTATCACTTCATCTAGTTGTCTTTTTTAGTAGCTTCTTTTGGTTTGGCAACTGCAAAAGATATATATTAACATAATAGGCTTTTGATGCATACAAGCAACTGAGGAATCAAAGAGCACCAAGGGTGGCTGTAGCCTAACAAGGGACTCTACTAAAAATATAGAAAATATTAAGAAATACAAAAAATATGTCCTATTTATCATTAAAAGTTTCTGTTGTTGTCTTCTAGGATAGAACATGAAAGATTGTCAAGGACATTTTTCTCAGCACTGTAGATTTAATAGATGTCAAGGAACCGTTCTACCTAAAAGCTTAAGCTGTTAGGTGAGGTCCCTGAATAGGTTTTTATTCTCTAACACGCCCCTTCACATGAAAGCCCATCAGGCTTGAAGTATGGACAGGCACAGGCCCACCAATACCTTATGCTGAAATTTAATGAGGATTGAACACTAGACCACTTGGTCAAACCAGCTCTGATACCATATCAAGGAACCGTTTGGCCTAAAAACTTAAGCTGTTAGGTGATGTCCCTGAATAGGGTTTTATTCTTTAGTTTATATGCTACTTGCCCTGTCTTAGAGGGAGAAGTTAATGATCTGATTTGTCCTGTCTTAGTGTTGCAGTGTAGTTTTTTCTTTTAGCTGGGTCGAAAGGATTATTCTCTGTTTGGGGTGGTTTTCTTATTTAGGGATTGGGGTTTATTTGATTGGTTCTCTGGGTTTTGCTTATCACCTTCCTTGTAATTGCTTTTTTGACTAAATAAAAATTATTTTATTTTATGATTTTATCTTCAAAAAAAGTTAATGATCTAATTTCATTAGCATTTGATGACCCATGGTTTAGGAATTATAGCCATTTTATTTTGTGATTTTGAATGCCATTAGATCTCTAAGATGAAAGAATTTTTTTTTGCTCTTGTCAATACATTATTCTGTATTTTGATGTGGAAACAGCTTCTCTCTGTATCTGCAAGGGCAAGGCTGTGTACATCTGTCCCTCCCCAGACCCCTGCATTGGTGGGAGCCTTGTGCACTGGGCTACCCTTTTTTTGTTCCGATTTTTTATTGATGTGTTATTATGCATTCTCAGCCTTGCATTTTCTTATATTTTGATGGTGTTATTATGTTCTCAATCAGGGTCCTTTTCGATTGGTTGCTGAGGAGGGTAAAGCTAAATGCTCATGGGTGAGCCTTGATGACATCTCAAATTGTTTAGTACGAGGTATTCTTCATCTGTGGTTCCTATTGCATTTAATTTGCTTCAGTTAAAAGTGTAAATTTCTGTCCATGGAACTTTCTAATCTGGTTTAGATTCTTCTGCAATATAAACTATTTTATTTTGATCATATGATGTCCTGTTACCATAATATACAGAAAAGGGGGCTTGATGCTAGAATTTGTGGGTTTATATGAGGGTACTTGGTGTCCTAAGTACTCCATATTTCTCCTGTGGCTTCATAGTTGTGGAATGTCTTTAGGAGGTAGTAAGCTTTTATTCTGTTAAGAAAAACTGTCTAACTGTTGTTTCAGTTTACTTCATACCATTTTACTTTCTGCTGGAGATTCTTGGGGCAGACCTGGATTTTATTTTGTATGAGTCTGCATTTTGTTTTTGTTATATCACTTTAAAGAGACCTGTACTTAACTTTAGGCCACCTTCGTTGGGGAAAAAGTTTTTTTTTTCCCTCTCAACAAATCTATGAGACCAGAGACTGCTAATAGTATATGGCCCAACATTTAGAAGACCACTGTTGCAATGGCAATGGACACATACATGATTTGGTTGAAGGTCTTGGGGTAGCTTTGGTGGAAGTGGAATCGGATTGTGATCAGCAAAAGGTCTGGGAGGATGATCCAAAAGATACAATCTCCTTTGGTCTTTCTAAAATAAACTAATAAGAAAGAGTGGTGGAGTAGCATAAATTTAGGTCAATTTGGTGCCCTAGGCAAAAGCATTCATGTGGTTCACTATGTTTGTCAAACTTCTCACACAAGGTTAGCTTTAGTGAAACCATTTTGTTTGGCAAGCAAATTTCTTGTGTATGAGAATGGTGAAGAAGATGCTTAGTTATGTACCCATGAAGTGCAAGAGGGCAAAAGAAGTTGGGTTATTTTCTATACTTTTTTTTGGGTGGATAAGAAAGATCCCGGTGAAAATTATTTCCTTGGGGGGAAGAATCACCTTGATAAAATCTACCCTAGCAAACCTACCCACTTATTTCCTCTCCACCTTTAAGATCCCGATGAAATAGCTAGGAAATTGGAGAAGATTTTGAGGGATTTTTTGTGGGAACCTGGCGATGAAAACAAGGATCATTTAATGAAGTGGGAGCAAGTTTGTTACCCTAAGGAGCAGGGTGGCCTAGGTATAAGGAACTTATTAAAGAAAAATAAGACCCTTCTAGGGAAATGGCTGTGGAGATTTCCTTGTGAAGAAGATAGGTTGTGGCTCATGGTCATTAAAAGCATTCATGGTGAAGCAATTAACGACTGAGATGCAAAACTAGCTTCCAATGCAGCTCCAAACTCTCACTGGAAGGCAATCTATGAGGTATTACCAACCTTTCTTCAATTTATCAGGTTCGATATTGGATGCGGAAATAAAGTTTTTATTCTGGGAAGACCTTTGGGTTGGGGATGTGCCTCTTATGGTTAAATTCCTGGATCTCTACTCCTTATCAAACCTTAAAAACAAACCTGTTGCTAGGTTTGGTATGCTCTCAGACTTTGGTATCTCTTGGGATTTTGGGTTTAGAAGAGGGTTGAGGGAAAATGAATGCGAGTCTCTGGTGCTTTTAATCTCTACACTTGAGAGGGTCTACTTAGATCAATCTATAGCTGATAGCAGAGTTTGGTCCCCAACTCCTGATGGTTTATTTTCTTGTGCATCTTTCTTTGGTTTGCTCACTCACTTTGATCCTATGGGGGTGAACTTCCTAGTGAAAGAAATATGGTGTAAACCGATCCCTCTAAGAGTACAAGCTTCCTGTTGGGAAGTGTTCTTAGGGTAGGTAAACACTTGTGATGTGCTACAGAAAAGGAGGCCAAACAAATGCCTCTCTCCTCATGTGCGTGTCCTTTGTATTGATTGTTGTGAAACCCTACCCCATTTACTTTTATCTTGCTCCTTTGTTTCTGGTATTTGGAATGTTGTTTGTTCTCTCTTTGGATGCAGATGGGCTCCCCCACAGGATGTGGTAAGTCTTTTCAGCCCTTCCTTCCCGAGACAATAGAAGAAAAGAGGAAAATGCTTATGGAAGGCAGCAAGAGCAGCTACAATATGGACTATGTGGGAGGAAAGGAACCTAAGAATTTTCTCTGGAAAAAGTAAATCAAAGGAGGAAGTTATTGAAGCCATAAAAATCAGAACTGCACATTGGGTGGAGACCATGGAGCTATTCAAAAATTTCTCCATGAATGAGATTTTAAGAAGTTGGGCTGAAGTAGCACTAACAGATGCACCCAAAGTAATTGTGAGTGCGGAATGGAAGCCACTGGCACCGAAAAAACTAAAACTAAATTTTGATGGGAGTTCTTCTGGTCACCCAGGAAGGGCAGGCATAGGGGTGTGATTAGAAATCATCTGGGTGTGGTGGTGGCACTCTTCTCAGGACCAATAGGTATTGGTGACTCAATACAGGCTGAATCTCTAGCCCTACTTCAAGGTCTAAAGATGACTGAGCAGATAGGAATAACAGACTTAGAAATAGAAGGGGACTCACTGCTGGTCATTTCTTGGGCTAAAAACATCACATCAGTACCTTGGAAGCTCAAATTTATCTTCAGAGAAATTGACATACTTACAAGGAGGATCAACTCTTAGTTTGGTTGGGTCAAACGGATTGCAAATGGGATGACGGGTACCCTAGAAAAACAGGGGGCAAATAGATCTACATTGTACTGGGCAGAACTGTAACTAATTGTATGTGGGTGCAGATTAGATTAATGCTTTTCTGCTACCTATAACCTTTGTAACTGATTGTAACTTTTGCTATTTTATTAATTAAAAAATTTCTTGCTGATAAAAAAAAGATTAGAAAAGGAAAATGAGTTGGAAGAATAGAACAGGTGTGCTGTGGGATGAGAGAAAGAGGAGAGTCTTCAATGGAAAGAGTAGGGAGGTAGAGGATCTAATTAGGTGTGCTGTGGGCAAGATGGGGTTGTGTATCTCAGCTTTAAAATGGCTCTCTAATCAGAATGTATTTGTGCTTTTAAGCTCAAATAGGCTCTGGGATCTGTAAAGTTGTGTTATTTGCTCCTTTGGCGGTAAGAGTTACTTTTTTGCCCCAAGGAGTTTGTTGTATTATACTGCTGTTGGTTCTAATAAAATTTTACTTAACCATTAAAAAAAAAAAAAGAAAAGCAAGAAGAATAAGAATAGAAAGAAGGGGAAATATGTGTTTCTACATTGCTCTACAAGATAATATCTTATTAATACTGTAGTGGCAGGGCAAAGACAATAATATCCATATACAATGTCCGCTAAGTTTATATGCAAGTGGAATACCTGAGAAACCTCTATACCTCAAGCTCCTTAACAAACATAGTATGAATTCCACTTAAAGCAAAGGGTAGGATGTAGTGGACAGTAACTCCCTTTGCTGTTGATGATAAAAAAAAAAAACTCCCTTTGTTGTTGTTTGGGGGCTTAGTAATGAGAGGAATAGTAGAAGAATATTAGATGGCACCTGAGGATCTCAGAACATAGTTTGCAAATGCATCAGATTCTTTATCATGTATTAGGCAATGATACACAAAGAATTCAAAGAAATGCATATGATCTATTTTGACAGATAGTGGGAGGAGATATTAGGCCATCACTGGGTGGATCTCTCTATGTGTTGTGTATTTTGTGTGGTGCCTTGCACTATATCTGTATTTGACCTTGACCTCCATGGTTTATTTGCACTTCTGTGCACAACTTTACATTATATATTTAATAGTATCTTTATTATTGGTAAATAGTAGTTAATGAGGACATGGGTGACTGTCAGAACTATAGGAGCTTCTATAATTTTCATTTCATAGCCTTAAAGGTACAAATATTACCCCTGCATAAATGATTGGGCAACTTCAGATCAGTGAATTCAGCCTTTAGGAGCAGGTGGAGGATGGAGGGATATCAAGGTGACTATGGTTCAATTGGGGCTGTGCTGAAGAGAAGAGATGAAGGTCCTTTCAAAAGGAGAGAGGACATGGTTTTTGAAGAAAACTGTCTTTTTAATCTGCATTATCTGAGGATGAGGTATCTTCCTTGGATGAGGAAATGAAGATGGATAAAGTATCTCACATACATCATGACCCTGATATGGAGGCAGACATCAGCCATTCTGTCAAGCTTACTAGAAAAATAGGTTTCTTGGTTTGTTCTTTTTGGAGGAATCAGGTATTTGTGACAAAGGGACATTAAAGGTGATGACTGAATCTGTAGAAAGTAGTAAATTAGCCGAGAGTTAAAGGCAGTTTACTTGGTTGGGATGGTTAGCAAGAAGCTCTAGATGTGTAAGTGTAACATGTGTTTGATGGTGAAGTTGATGATTCTACTCATCTGATTATGCTTAAAGGAGTGATGGATGGGTGGGAAAAAGCACAACAGAGTTCTAAAAGGGCAATCTCTGTTTTTGGGTCTTTGTGGAGTCACTGAAATAATGTTTTTGGATATCTAGCAAGTTATCTGCTGCTGCTTTTGTTGTTAGTTGTTACTCTCAATTAATGACTAGTATATTTCTGTTTTTGGTTTGATTGTGTTGGCTGGGGTTGCACTGGTTGGGACATCTTTGATGGTTTTTGTTGTTTTTTTTTGGTTTTCTGTTCCTTTTATCTCTCTTTTTTTTTGTCAGTTATTCTCCTTGTATTCTTTTCTTGCCATTGATTTTGAGTAACTTGCCTTTTGTTGTTGATAAAAACATTCCCATTAGATATGGCACAGAACAAGTATTTTGGCTTTGTATATGCCATTTACAGTATAATTTAATTTTTGTCTTAACAAAGTTCTCTTTTTCTTTTTCTTTCCCAAATCATACTAACAATTTAAAAAATGTATTAACAAAAGAAACTTGTGTGACATGGTTTACATTTTCAATTATCCCCAGGGGAGTGATTGACATGGGTAGAGAGAGCGGGAATGATGCACTTTTTGGGTAGCCATGTCAACACCAGTTCAATGTGTTTCAAATGGTGAAGCAAGACCTCTCAGGGATATTTTAGGCCGAAAGATATATACAAATCTGTATATATGTGCATATTTATGCCTGTTTTGTTTTATTTTTTCTTGCTTGTTTAAGGTCCATGACTCCATATTTTTGTTAAACTGAATAGTGATACTGGATTAATAGAAGTGATACTGAGGCTTAGTTTGGAAATAGTACAAATACAAATATGTACAGTGCAAATACATACAGAATAATACAAATTATGAGGTTTTGCACTCTACAGTTTTGTATTTGTACTCCTTCCAAACTGAGCCTGAATTGCCAATCAGAAAAAACAGTGCATGCAGTTCATGTGCCAAGATTCTTATTTGCAGAATTTCATCTGTTCAATTTGTTCTTTTATGTTCTAAGTTAATTTTAGTCATTTTTGGAATGAGAGACAAAGCCACTAACCTATTTCCTGGCATTTTTTCCCAAAGCAGCAGATTCAGAGAAATCTCACCATCAACGTGTAGCTGAGTTGCAAAGGCTTCGCTCTATGTATGTATTTGCATTTACACACTTGTTCAAGTTGTTTGATTCCTTTTACTAGGTTTCCATTTGTTCATTTACTGTTATTACATTTTGGATTTGTCACACACATACATATTCTACTTCTGTTTGCTGTCTGGTGTCCAATTTTCATTGTTCTTGTTTTTCTCCTTTGTTGTGTTTTATAAGCTTCTGCTTTTTAGTCTTTTGTGTTGTGTTGTGTTCTTATGGCCTGTGATACCTCCAATGTTGAGACAGATTTGGAACAAGTGAAAGGCAGTGGGTAGAAGCCCAAGTTGAGAATGCAAAGCAGCAGGCTATTCTTGTGGCACTTAAATCTCAAATAACATTGGATGAAGCTCACATTCATCTCGATCTTCATTCTCTCCGGTGTGTTCTTGTTGTTTCTTGTACTGATAATATTCTGTTTTCCAGTTTTCCACGAACTAATTTCTGTTTTCTTTTCTGCTTTTCCTGAAATGTGTCTCCAATCCATCTTTTTTAAGTTGCATCTTTTTTTTTTTTAAATATAATTTTATTAATTTTTATGGAAAGCTTTGATGCCTGGCTTGGTCCAGCCTAGGTGTGGACATTTATTATTAGGCTGGGATTAAGGCTGGGCCAGGCCCAGGCCACCCAACTTGCTGTTACTACTTTGTTAAGACCTGGCCCAACTCATGATCATCCGAATATGCCCCCCATTGCTATTTATATCAGTTTCTGTAAATAAAACAGCAAATTATAAAATAGAGGACCAAAAATTTATTCTGATTTCTAAGATCCAAAATAAAGATAACAAATAATCCCACTACTGAATACTATCAAGAAGAAAAGAATAACTTGCAAATACAGCCATATTTCAACAAAAACTAACTCAATGTGAAGAAACTAGAAATCACTGAAAATAGTAACTTGCATGGTTACTAGAAATAGTAACCATGAGAATTACTACAAATAGTAAGACCAGAAGTTTCTACAAATGGTAATTTTGGAATAACAGAAAACTTCTAGGAAACTTAAAATCCTATTTGTAAGACTCTACAACTAATAAAAGAGTTGAATGTTAAGTAGAACCGACTGCACCCATTATTTAACAATGGATATGTCACTATATAGAATGGAATGGCGAAACAGGATTCATGTAGCTGACCATATATAGTTGGGACAGGGCTTAGATGATGATATTGATCTTAGGTAGACCCCACTTTTAGTTTTTGCCGATTCTTTTACTGTGAGATTCCTTCATGGCGAGAATGAGGCCAAAAGAATTTTAAAGGCCACTATCACTTCTTCCTTCTCTTCAGATCTATTAGCTACTTTTTGGGCTTCCAAAGAGACTCAAAACTGATCTAACCAAGTAAATGCTGCTCCATCACTAGGTTCATGGCAAGTAGTTAATCATCAATGTATTTTATAGTTTTAATTGATTGTATTTGTCAATATATAGAAATGATATTATATATGATTTTATGTTGTTTGTTATATGAACGTGGGCTGGTTAAGTATTTGTGATGGCATGTGGCTGGAGTGTAAATAAAATGGAATCAAGTCATAAAATGAGTGGAATATTTTTTTTTTCTTTTTTTTTTCGGGGGGGGAGCTTGTAAATCTTCTTCCAATAGGTGGTGTTTTTTAAGATTTTACAAGCAGGGGAAGCACATTAGACAGTAATTGTCTTCTAATAGACAAGAACTGTCCATTTCATATCTTAGGGCCTGCTTGGTAATGGATGAAGTGGTTGAATTGAATGACTCATTGCTCTCTCTTTTAGTGAATAAGTTATCAAGTAGATTGTATACTTTTTAATGGCTGAATGGCATGTTTCATTGATTAATATGGTCTAAATATTTTATTATATCACTATATTATCCACTAAAAAATTGAATTTTATTGCTGTTTTGGGCTTCTATGTAACTTTGATTTTGATAATCGGGGGCTGACTCCTTTGTCATCATGTTGTACTAATCTTATTGATATTCCATTTTAGTAAAATTAATCTTATTGCTGATAAAAAATATAATATCCACTAAAAATTATAGCAATAAGCCATCCTGTCCAGCCACATTAGCCATCATGAGATGACCCCTTAGCCCTTCCATTTGTCCTTTTTATGTTTGCAAAGTGGGGGCACAGAATGTTCTATTTCATATCTATTATTGCATATATAGTCTTTATGAACATATAGATAAGAATACATCTTTATATTTGGTTTAGCAAGTATTTTTGTGGTTGATTACTCATTACCTAGGCACCTACTAGTTAAGTCGTTGCATGGGGCGGCCAAAACTATTTGGTCATCTATTTGTTGCATTGACAGTATTGCCTCAAACCTGAATGCTGCTTCTTGCTCTGCCACTTGACAAAATCACTTTCAATAAAGATGCAATACCCAGCAGTACACCTCCCATTGATAGGATATCTTGCTTAAAAAGCAGTTGGCAAATTTTCAGTATTGTTTCTTGCCTGATGTTTGTTTTGCTCATACAGTCATCTTGTTACGGTCTTACCCTGAGATACTGTAGGATATGAATAACTGCATCCCTGTATGGCTGTCTAGGAAAATACATGAATTGACTTGAAACATTTACAAGGAAGGTAATATCTTGCTGGGTAACCACCAAATAAATGAGTTCAGTAATGAGCCCATAATATCGCAATGCCCTCAAACACTTATCTCCTGTCTGCCACAGTGTTGATTTGAGTCATATGGTCAGACTACTTTAAGCTATCCTCAGTTGAAGTGACGAATATTCAAGACATTATCAGATTTTCTTCTAAACATGTGTGTAGTAGGATTGATTTTGGGCATCTAATAATGCTCCTTTGTGAACAAGATTCTGTTGCTTGTGGCAAGGCAATTGTGTATGATTTTTTTTGTTGGCTTTTACATTTTATGCTGCCTTTTTTTTTGACTGGGCAGGAGAAAGCATTCTGAATTAATGGCAGAGCTTTCAAATCTATACCGTAAAGAGGAGAAGTTGTTATCTGAGGTCTGCACTCTGCACTTGTATTTTGTACAAAAATTTAATAATCACATGCCATAGTTTTTTAGCTTGCAATTATTGTATATGGTTTGGAATGCAAATTATTATTTTTTTTCTCCTTGCATGAGCTTAAAAACTAAATTGGTCCTTCAAAATGTCTAACCCTATTCCTAAGACACTAACAAACTAGAAAGTTTATTAGAAAACTCAAATCCAAAGCACCCAGAAATTATAAAATTGTCACTGGTTAAAGAATATGAGTAAACTTGCTTTCTACTTCCATGGTTTCTTTCCTTTATTCCATGTCTACATCATCACATACCAAGTATTAAAAGCACAAATAGACCAAAGGCATGAAGTTACAGTATAAGTATGATTTCATTTCTATTTATAAAATGGATGAGGTTTTTTGGTCTTTGGATTGATGGATTTGTGTTTCGCAAAGAGTTTATAATAAAGAGTTCACTTTTGAGAAAATATTTTGACAAGGGAAAATTTTGCACACCTATTTTTCCCTTTTGGTAAATCCGAATGCCAAGGTTTGTTTATAATAAGATTTCCTTTAGAACTTTTCAATGGGATTTTTTTCCTCCTGTATTCATTGATGCAGTTTCTGACAAGATCTTCTGTTCCATTTCTTTTCTTTTCTTTGTCTATTTTCATTTTGTTCCGACTTGCAGACCATTCCAGATCTGTGTTGGGAGCTTGCTCAACTTCAAGACACCTACATATTGCAAGGTACTGCATAAATGCCCTAATGAAATTGAAGAGAACAAATAAACAAACTCTTGATATTTAATTAACATAATCACTTTGCCTTTCTTTCTCCTTGTTCTTTCTCAACTATTAGGTGATTATGATTTAAAAGTTATGCGCCAAGAATCCTATATTGGCCGGCAAAAGGCGGTATGTTTAACTCTACTAAGAATCCCCAATTCAGTGGATGGTTTGATCAGCCACATTGCTCTTCTATTTGGTGAAAGTAAAGTAGATCATGTAGGGAATCTCCTAGTTGACCTGATTAGGAAACCTTTTTCCTGTATATTATATTTCATCTGTTTAATTTCTTTCTATGTATGTATTTATTGACATAAATACTCTATCTCCATATATGGGGTGGAAGGTCTTTGGCAGTATTGCTACACATGTTTGATAAGTACTACCATTTTATTGTTCTCTTGCTTTAAGACAGTCTTTCTTGTGTGGGCTGGAATAACAAAACTGGGCCGTTTTCAGGATGCTTACCTTGTTCTGATATTTTCTGATATGCAGTTCATAGATCATCTAATTAATCAGCTAGCTAGGCATCAGTTCCTGAAAATTGCTTGCCAACTGGAGCAGAAAACCATGCTTGGAGCATATTCATTGCTTAAAGTCATTGAATCAGAGCTGCAAGGCTACCTCTCATCAACTAATGGCAGAGTGGTATGCATCCACCTGGTTACATTTACTGCTTTATGAATTGCACTGGATATTCTCTTTCTTAGATAATATTTTCTTTAGTCATATGTATATGAAACATAGAAGAGGATCATTACTTCTGGTTATGTTATGGTTTGTGTTTGAACTGCCTATGCATGGTATATAGTTTAAAAAGAAGACCAGAATGTTGGATATTAACATTATGTTCTCAACCCTCAAGTGTATGCTTCTTTCTGTGCAAAATTACCTGTGGAAAGGTCATTACATGTGAGATTTGACATGGACACAAGAAAGAAGAGAGGACAACCCTTTAACCTATGGGGCCCATATGAAGTCTGTGAGGCCCCAACCCAGAGCTGCTTCCTCCTAGGGATAAGGCCAATAAGCAGTGCAACTGATGAAATTCATCTAAGGGGCCTGTTTTCAGGGGATATTTGTTTTCTGTCTTTGTGGGTGCACAAGTGTTTTAGTTATTTTAGTATTATGGCACTTTTAGTTTCTAACTTTTTTATTCTCTTTTATTCATACTTTGAGTTATTTTTTTAGTGCTGTTTGAAAGTCTAAGGTCTAATTATTATTATTATTATCATTATTGTTGTTGTTGTTATTGTCTGAAAATCTGTGCCTGGAGTACTATCAAAAAGACATTACCCAGTGTTGGTCCCATCCATATGGGGTTTTGGGAGGGGTAAACTAGATATGGTCCTAACCTTTGGCATCATCTTTTGCACAAAGTAGCTGCTCTCAGATTCAAACCTGCATTCTTATCCTTGTTAGCCCAAATTTTACCTGTGCCTGAAGTAATCAGATTAAGTTAAATTTTTATAGGTGTAGCATGGGAAGTCAAAGCCCTATAGGTATTGAGAGAGTTTTCAGAGGCATGTATAGGACTATTCTTGCAATGCGTACCGGACTTATAGGCTTGAAAACTCCATAGGGACTGAACTACTTGCACCCTTTCAAGGATTAAGACTGGCAAGATCTTTAAATTACAGAAACATCTAAGCATGGATGCCATGGAACATGGTTCATGGATGGTAGTCAGTTGGTGTGGAGAACAAGGGCAAGAACATTGACAGATCTTAAAGGAAATCAGATGCTTAACAAGCGAGAAATATTACTTTTACATGGGTTCGAATATCAGACAGACAACGGCTTAGTTGATATCCTAGCCAAACAAGGAGCAAATAGGGAACAATTATTTTGGGGCCTTTTAAATGTAGAATGAATGTAAAAATCTACAATTGGGATTGGGTGGCTGTGGCTGGGTTATGTATATAATGGATGCTGGGTATATTATACATATTTGTTCTTAATAAAATTTTAAGTATCCATCCAAATAAAAACAATCTGTTTCTGAAGTCTGATTAGGCTATCATGTTGGAGTTATTGAGTGGAGTGGTTACTGCATTTTTTCTTTTTGAATATGGGTATAAGGAATATCCTTGTTACTATGAAAACTTAAAAGGTTAAAAGAGTAAAAGAAGCACTTATGTACATACAGTCATTTAGATTCTTAAGCAAACTAAAAGGGAAATAACCGCTTAACTGGTTTCAGATGTAAGTGGCAATGTTTCATACTTCTAAACACCAGCTATGTAGTCCTATTATTATGAGTTTTTTAGGAGTCAGGAATCTTACATATATTTTTCTAAATATGTTAGGGGTGTTTTCTCGAAATCTTTATGCTTATTTCTGGTAGGATGTACACAAATTTGGATATCCCTCTCTACTCTCTAGCTCTACATATACATGTATTCGTTTTCATTTCTTTGGGAGGGGGTGGAATGAATTAATTGGAGCCTTTTCGTTTATAATTTACTGTTAAATTTATTATGGAAAAGAGTCTGTTCTCTTTCTCACATATCCTTCTTTGTTCACTCTGTATTCTATTTTTTTCCTTTGTATTTTTTTTTCATCTTTCTGAGTATTTTTTTCTTGTTTGTTCACTCAATCTGGTCCTTTATTATTTTTTCTGGTCTTCGCAAATCTAATATAAAGTCCAGTCATCCTAATTTTCTATTATTTCCCTAGCAATATCTTCTTTAAACTCTAGCCAATATGAAGTATGCCCAGCCTCGAATCCCATGCCTGATCTTGCTGGACATTCCTAACTATTGTTTATTGTTCCTGATCCTTCACTTTTCATTGGGGCACAATGCCCTCATTTAAGGCCATTGGACCTCTTGGCCAAGCCCATATTTGAACCCAGTCTTGGAACTAGACTGGAAGAAGCTAAGGAGAATATTTCAGGAATGTGCACTAAGATATTTTGTGTTTTTTGTTTTATTTTATCAAGTCACTTGACTAGAAAGTAAGGTTTGGGTTATGGTTCTCTTTTTCTGTACAATTAGTTGTATTTCTTTCTTTTTGTAGTGAATAATGGTATTTTCAAATCAGTTTGTTTTTCCGTAGCTCTTGGAGTTTGTGCTTTGAAGAGTCCTATGTCTTGGTGACAACACCATAACATCTCTCTCTCTCTCTCTCCCCTCTCTTCTCCTATTTTCTTCCATTTCTTTGAATGTTCTTCAAAGTTCTGAACAAACCCTCATCCTCAGGAAGAGTGCTGCACCAGAACCACTTATTATCTATCCTTAGATCCACAGCTCTCATTCCTCTTGTATACCAAACGAACCCTAGTACTGCAAGTTAGGTGGGCTCAGGTTGAGCATTTGTTGAAATTTGAATGGGCCTGGCCCAAGGTCTGGGGCTCAATGCTATGCAAATTCTTCAAATCAGGTATCTGACTTGCACCCCTATTGAGCTTGCTGTTTAGCATTTTTCACACTCCCTTTAAATTGTCTTGCCAACAGGTTTGTAATATCAACACTTAATCAGCATATCCTTTAGACATTGAACAAGTCTTAGAAACACTATGCCCCAATATTTCCCTCTTTCCATATTAGATGCTTACTTATCACACTTCACAGCTATATCATTAATGTTGTTCTAAGTTTACCTACACAGCATTATCAACCTGCATTCCGACATTGTTGTAATCATTGCAGGGCCGTTGCCTATCACTAATTCAAGCTGCTTCTGAGGTTCATGAACAAGGAGCCGTGGATGATCGGGATACTTTTCTTCATGGTGTTAGAGATCTTTTGTGCATCCATTCAAGTACACACAGTATCTATTGTACTTAGGAAAAAGTTAAAAACTTATTATATTCTCAGTAGAAAAATATTTCTTTCTTGCATCTTGAACTCCTTGTTCTTCTTTTATAGATGCTCAAGGTGGGTTACCAACATATGTATCAGCACCAGGCATTGTGCAGCAGATAACAGCACTTCATTCAGAATTAATGATCCTGCAGTCAGACCTTGAAAATTCTCTTCCAGAGGATAGAAATAGATGCATCAATGAACTGTGAGTGATTTGTTTTTATCTACATAAAAATCTCTCCTATTACAAGAGGGATAATAATTGTTCCTTGAATGATATGCTATAGGGTATATAGACTGCTCTTACATGGTTTTTAAATTTTGATACTTGGATGTGTATTGATGGCTAAATGATATGATATGGATTGTGTTGCATGCTCATATTGTCCGTTAATGGCAATATTCTATGTTGCATTGGATCACAACTCGTCATCCTTTCTTTTCTTGGATGTGTATTGATGGCTAAATGATATGATATGGATTGTGTTGCATGTTCATATTGTCCGTTAATGGCAATATTCTATGTTGCATTGGATCACATCCTATTTGTTCATTGTCTAGTTATCCTTGCATGAAGAAAAGAAAGGATGATGAGTTGGGTACATCCCATTTTCTATAATTGGGGAATGTCTCCAGTGAAAAGACAAAAATATTCCCCCATTTGCAGTGAAATGATATGATATGGATTGTGTTGAATGTTCACATTGTCCGTTAATGGCAATATTCTATGGTGCATTGGATCACACTCTATTTGTTCATTTTCTATGTATCCTTGCATGAAGAAAAGAAAAGGATGATGAGTTGGACACATCCCATTTTCTATAATTGGGGAACATCTCCAGTGAAAAGACAAAAATATTCCCCCATTTGTAGTGACAAAACTTAATGCATAAGGTATCTTTGTCTTCAAAAGCATATACTTTTTAGTCTCTTTACAAATAGTTAGGAACTTGCCCAGTTTATGAAAAAATAGGATATGCCCAAATTACCACCAAAAGAAAATCTCTAATAACTTGCATCTGTCTTATCATGTCTTAGGGAACTTGGTCCCTAAGACAAGCTGTAAGAGAATTATTGAGCCTTACAAGGGAGCTGGATGTGGTTGTTAATTGGACTAGGAGGTCAGCAATTGCTTTAGCTGACTTACTAGCAAAGCAAGGGGTGAATAGAGAGACTTTGTTTTGGGTTGTGTTGTGACTTGCTTTATGTTTCAGGGGTCACCTTGTCCTTCTGTAGGTTTACAGTTTGTAATTCCTGATTTTCTATTTAATGAAAGTTACCGTTTCCTATCCAAAAAAAAGTTAGGATTACTTAAAGAGGTAGACATTCAACTATTTCATTAAGAACCCTGTTGTCTTCTTGTGGTGTGAATTACCCACTTCAGCTGATGATAAGCAAATCTGATATTAAATAATGGCAGGTAGGACGGTAGGTGACTATTATGAACTTTTTAGGTGTCTTTGGCTGGTGAAGTTCTGTAAATTCATTCATAGTTCCTAAGTGGCTACTCAATTTCTTTATCTAACGAGAGGAAAGACATTCATATTTCAATATCTTCATTATAAATGAGAAACCCCTTTTCATGAGAAATGCTTGGATTTCTTGCAACTCCATGAAGCTTCCTAGTTGTGAACGGATTTCTCTTAGCATGATAAGAGTTAACTTAGGCTACCACAATGGGTAATTCTAGGCTCCATCGTGCCAAGCAATATGGTCCATGTTGCTCTTGTTATAAGAGAAGCATTAACATTTTTTTTGGTAGTCAATAGAAAGAAATTTTATCAAAAAGAAAAAAAAATGATTACAAGAGAGTGGTGATGAGAGGTCACCCACAAAAACAAGAATGACAAAAAAGAAAAAAAAAATACAACAATAACATCATCTCATGTCCCCATTGCATAAAAGAGAGCACAAAGTAAAATCCATATCTCCTCTTTCGTATTCCAGCTCTAAAGCTGACCAGAAACCAGCCCCAAAAGAATCTTTGTTAACATCATCAAATCCTGGAAGAGTCGGTCCATTCCATAACTTTTGTAGTTGTGTCAAAAGATTCTTCTGTCGCTTTCCTTTCAAACCTCCCAACAAATTGCAAAAAGACAACTCCATGTGATCTTTTTCTATTTCCATTTAGGACCGACCGTAGACCAACAATCTCTTTTAGTGATCTTGGGAACTACATATCAATTTTGAATAATCTAAAAAGTAATCCCAGATGATCTTCAAGTAGCAACATTTAATGCATAGGGGAAATACGTTTTCTTCCTCTTCCAAACATAGTTAGTGTCTGCTCACCTTCTGAATGCCTCTACTTTTTCAACCAACCATCAAAAGCTTCCACCCTGGGGTGGGGGGTGGTACTGGATTCCCCCAAACACCTTCAACATCCAAATTTTCCACCTGATTGTCTTGGCAATGCTGTGGAAAGACTTTTATGGTGTATTTCTCCCAAACATCTTAAACATGACATTACAAGAGTGTGAGAGCATGATTGGCATGGTCATGATTTGATTGGTAGAGTAGCCAAAGTGGCTTTTAGTTAGGTGGGATTTGAGAATGAACAAAGCCAATGCATTAGAATGGTTTTAACTGAAATCTTCAAAGTGGGTGTAAGCCCTGTTCTCAACACATCTATGTAACTACCTTATCCATGACTTAACCTGGGATATAACTGTATATACCATATAAAATTCATATGAATTGTAGGATGACTGGAGCATAGTAACACATCATTCATTAAGATAATGATATTATTGACTTGCTAGCTATACAGGAACATACTTGAAATCCACTGAAGGTGCACTTTTATGGGGTTTGGTGTGCCTCCTTATCATAGAAACTTTTCTTTGGATCTGATCATCTTATACGTTTTTATCCTCTTTTCTCTTTTTTGGATATCTAGTATTATAGCCTTATTATTATTTCTACACTTTCTGATTGAATGAAAATGCTTCCTATCAACTAAACTAAAAAGATGGGTTCCTTTCTAATTATTGGTTATGGGTTCCGTTTGACTAAACTTTTTTTTTTTTTTTTTTTTAATTTTGGTTTCAATGTAAAACATCTTTTAGGTTTCCTTCTTTTGTATACTACCAGTCTACAATACTTTATTGTTTATAAAAGATTTGTCCAGAAAACCAGCAATCAAGAGTTAAGGCTTGATAGTCTGAACTAGTTTTTTTTGCTCTTTCTTTAAGTTATATTTCCCATACTTAATTAGGGGAAATTATCTTTTCTAGTTTGAACTAGCTTTTTCACTCCTCTTCTTTCTCTCCTCTCCCTCCCTCCCTCCCTCTCTCTCTCTCTCTCTCTCTCTCTCTCTCTCTCTCTCTCTCTCTCTCCTGCTTTTATTCTCTGCTAATCTAGGGCAGAAACCAGTACAGATTTGTTCTGTAACAACAATAAACCTGCAGAAATTTGGGGGGAGAAGAGAAAGGTTGGGAGAAGAAGATATAAGAAAGAAAGGAGTTGGAAGAGAACATCCGATCGCGGGAGCAATTTTTCTATCCCATCATCTTATGAGAATATCATCCATGGAGAAGCATGAAAACTCTTCCCTTGTCTTTACTCAATGGATGATTCTGATTTCAATCAAGCTAATTAATGAATACTGCTGAAACCATTACTTAATTTTTTGTCTGTATCCATGCGTATCTAAAGTGTGTCCTGATACATCTCTTAAAATTTCCTTACCGATACATCTTTCATTTCCGATACTTTAAACCTTGCTTCATTATTTTTCTCAAAAAAGAAGAGATTTTACCTTTTTCGCTATTTTCAATTTCAATGTGAAGACCCTTCTCTGTATCACGTTTTTGGAGTTTGAAGTGCATTTCTTATATTAGGGGTATAACAATTGCATTTGAATGAACAAAAGAACTTACTGAAGTTTGACCAGAACTTTCCAAAACTTAGTGAAACTTCAATGAGGAAAATTTAGGGGGTGCAAGTCGGGTTCCCAATTTGAAGAATTTACATTGTGTTGGGCTCTGCTTTTCAGGCCAGACTCAGTCAAATTTTGACAAGTTCTCAACTTGAGCCTGCCTTGGGCGACGTTTGATGACGTTTTTAAGAGGTCTGAAATCTGAAAACATTACTTTTTAGATTCCAGAAGTGTTTGGGTATGCGTCTGAAAGTTGATATGACATTGCATTTCAGAACTGAAATGTTTAGACTGTGGGCCATCACTGAACATGCTCAGACACGTTTCAGATGTGTTCAAAAGGCTAGAATGCCCCTGATAATATTTGAATAGACATCTCCTTCTAAACCCAAATTTCTTCTCACTTGAACTTCAAATCGACGCAGCGGAGAAGTCTCTTCATGATCTATGTTTCCGTTCTTCCGGCGATCTACATTCCAGCGATCAATGACGATGGTGAACTCGAAAAAACCTATAGCTGCCAGCGATTGAGATTCCATTCTCAGCTGTTTGATTTCTCTCTCTCTCTCTCTCTCTCCCCTGTCTTCCTGCCACCGTCGCTGCAACCCAGTAGCAGCGGTCGATTTCCCTCTCTCTTGCAGCGGTCAATTTCCCTCTCTCTCTCTCTCTCTCTCTCTCTTTGTCTTCTCGCCACTGCCACTGCAACTCTCACCAGTGGCAGTCGATTTTCCTCTCCCTCTCTCTCTCTCTCTCTCTCTCTCTCTCTCCATATCTTCTCACCACCGCGGCTGCAACTCTCAGCAGCAGCGGTCGATTTCCCTCCCCTCTCTCTCTCTCTCTCTCTCTCCTTCCCTCCCTCCCTGTCTTCCTGCCACCGCTGCTGCAACTCTCAGCAGCGGCGGTTGATTTCCCTCTCTATCTCCCGTCTTCCTGCAGTTGCAGTGGCCTTGTTTCAACAACAACATTCGACACCAAATTAATTATAAGTTAGTAAATATGTTAATAGTTTTTTATGATTTTTTTTACTTTTATAATTTTTATTTATATTAATTATTAAATATTTTAATAATTTTAATTTAAAAATTTGATAATTATTAAATATTTTTTATTGCTTCATGGACTTTATTACTATTATCATTATTATTTTAACTCTTAATTTATTTTTAATTTATAAATTTATATGTATTTTTCAATTTTATTCTTATTTTAATATATTATTTTTATTTTTTACAATTTACTCATATTTTTCAATATTATTTTGAATTTAATAAATTATTTTTATGAAATAATGCAAATTGAACTCAAAATTACCAAATAGTCTGTTTTAGGGGTAAAATAGTAAAATTAGGGAATTTCAGTTGTTGAAGGGTTGATCCAACACAAACAAACTTATCTGTTCAGAGCCTCTAAAAAGTAGAAAAGCACCTATACCTCTTTTCAGATTTCAGATACTTTTAATATCTTTTTCACTTTTCAGATTTATCAAACACCACCTAAGTTGCATCCCTAGGTTCATTTATATTGCTGAAAAATGGATATGTTTTTTCCTCAATTGGTAACAAGAAAACTTAGAGGAGCAAGTGTAATTTTGAAGTCTTTCCAAAAGGAAGATAGGAAGGAGCAACCAAACAATACTACAAGCAGGCAAACTGGATTAGACAATGCAAAGAAAACAATATTTGAAAGGTTTTATTGTACAGTGGGCAATGACTCTGAATGAGAGACGATCTCCAATACAATTGAGTTCAACTTCTTAACCAAGGTATATGCTAATGAATTAGCTGAACTCTGTACACATCTGAATGAGATTTCAATGTTGATGCTGGGGATCCAGCCTACTCAAAGAAGCTATTTACCCACCCCTCGTTACTCTTCCTCATCCAGAAAATATTCCTAGTACTGCCTGTGGATCACCCTCCACTTCACATGAGGAAACGTAGATGGGAATGTTTCACCACACATACTTAAGTTTTAGTGGAAGTTAAGAACATGAGGCATATAGGAAGATTGTTGAAACTACTACATTGTATATATTGCTACAAAATGGTTTTATCAACATGGGGATTTTTGCCAATCTGTATGGTTTTGTTTTCTAAAAAAATAACTGCCACATTAGCAAAAGTTTATTGTTTTTGTTGATGTGGCAATTCTTTTTGTTTCAGAAACCAAAACTGTACACATTGGAGAATACCTTGTTAGTGATTAACTGATTTTTGCCATCAAGTGGATAAAAACAATTGCACTACTTTTTTTTCCCAATGTTATTACACTTGGAAGTTGGAATGCTGTCTTCAATTACTTGTATATTATTGGGATCTTCTTTTTGTCTATTAGGTGTACCCTTATTCAAAGTTTGCAGCAACTATTGTTTGCATCTTCAACAACTGCAGAACCAATATTACAACCTTGGGTAATTTCATATATTTTCTTGTTGATATAATTTTGTGGATGTGGTTATAAAATTTTCCAAGCCCTTACTGTTTATGTTTTGTGCTTTTGTTCTTGTATTGTTTCACATCTTGTCTGATTATATCATTAACATCTTTCATAATAAAGGACTAGGGCATTATTATTTAATGTACTGCTCTGTCACAAGAATGGCTGAAATTTTGTCGATTCTTAATAACTTTAAATGATGTATGTGTATTTCTTGATTAATGCCCAAAAGTTAGCATCAACTTCAACAATGTATATGCTTTAATCACTTCATCTTTCTTTGAACATTTTATTCCCTTTCTACCTTACTCCTCTAATACGAACACCTTTCTTAAATAAATGAACATTTCTTAAATCAATCCTTTGCTTATGAACACTCCAGTATAAGACAACATATTCATACTTGCTGTAGTCAACTACCTTTTTCAGTTCTACTATTATGAGTTTCAAAATTTAGAATTCAACAATGCTTGTAACTTGTAAGTGGACCTAGCCAAGAATTTTGCTTCTTAACTTTCGTAGCACATTTAGGTACATTTCCAATATTCATCAATATATTGTCTACAAAGTGGGCTGCTCATGGTACCTAAAAATAACATCTTTCATTTCTTCAAAGTTCATCTGCCTAGGGATGCCAATGGACTGGTTTTGGATTGGACCCCCGTCCAAATCAAAATCAATTTGGATGGATTGGACATCACAATTAGACGTATTGAGTTGGACCAGTCCAGACTTAATGGTCCAAAGTATTTATTGGATAGTATTGGACCTGGTCCATCCATAATAGATTTATATTGGATTAGGTCAGATCGAATCAATATCCAGTCCAGGGATAGAAGATAAAAATACAGGTTTCAATGGACCTGGTTTGGGTTGGAACCAATCTGATTCTAAATTAAAGCCAATTTGAACAGATTGGGATGGTCCAGGCATTGAATTGGAGTGGTCCAAATTCCAAAATGGTCCAGAGTATTCATTGGATTGGATTGGACCTGGTCCAGCTGTAATGGACTCATATTGGACCAGATCGGATTGAATTAAATCCGGTCTAATTGACACCCCTACATCTGCCTTCACATATCCTGGCATTATCTGTTACAACTTGAACTATGTTTCTTAAATCAATCCTTTGCTTATGAACATTCATATAAGACAGCATATTAATACCTGCTCTACTCAACTACATGATCCAGTTTTACTATTACGAATTTCAAAATTTAGAACCTAACAATGCTTGTAAATGGACCTAGCCAAGAATCTTTCTTTCATAACTATTTCAGCACATTTGGTGCATTTTCAGTATTCATCAACATATTGTATACAAAATGGGTTGTGCATGGTACCTAAAAATAACATGTTTCATTTCTCCATAGTTCATTTTCCCTTGCATATCCTGGCATGATCTGTTACTACTTGAACTTTGTTATTACCATACCATCACATAAACGAATGTATCACTTGTCACCACTTGAATTACATGATCTTCTCCAGTTTATTCCATAAGGGAGTCAAGGTCTCTCATTTTAGTGTTATCAAAATGTTGAGTAGTCAGTTAAAGGCCAGAGCCAGAGTGATTGCATCACTAACTAGTCAATAGATACTCTTGATGCATTCAATGGGGTTGACTAACGGCTAGTCAACCTAGACACCTGCAAACTTATTTTAAAGTTTTATTTGTTTGTGCTTATCTCTAGTTCTTTAAATTAATATAACGCATGATTTTATTTTGTTATGTTGCTTTAAGTATTTTTGTGACTGGCTGATGATGTTTAAGTAGAAAGAGGCATAAAACCAAAGAAGGCAGTAGTGAAGGAGTTCTTTTAAGTTTTATCAATCTTATTTTATCCCTTCTTTTATGGGGTCTGCATTCTAAGTTGATGTGCTTAACATTGAAACTTTGCTATCTTTTCCAGCCGTTAACCAAAGAATTTGGAGAAATGGATAAGCTTAACACACAACTATTTCCTGCCATTGAACAAGTGACGCGTGAACAGTGTGAGAAGGCTGAGGTACTCTTGGTTTCATTTACCTTCATTTCTAAGTCACTAAGTTCCTCTTCACCAATTGAACTACATAATCAATGCTGCCATCTTCTTGTTTATACCTTTAGAAAATATGGTGACATTTAGAATCAGGGGTTGTTGATGTCTTGTTCCATGTGACTGGTCTGTGTATAAACAATCAACTGGCATTGATCAATGTCACCAAGCTTCATTTCCTAGATATAGCCTCATAACTTTTAATCTGTGCTTTAACCATTAAAACACCTATGTCTATTCAATTAACTTTAGTTATGTTTAATATGGTGAAAGTACTGATACTGGTTGTGGGTTTAGATTGTGAATCTGTTGTCAGCCCATGTTTCCTGAACCTTCATATATTTCTCATTCATATACCTGTCATGCAATTAACTGGAATACTACTTGAGAACAGAGAATTCTTTTGAAGCTTGTTGCAGCCTTGGTCCTGTTGTTTTGGTGGGGTGGGGGTGTAACTTTCTAATATTTCTTCTTTAATAAATGTCCCTTGTTATTGATCATCATAAAGAAAAGGTGAAAAAAAAGACAAGAAAACAGATGGTGGCTATAGGTATAGAATTTTTCCTTTCTGTGATTTTCCATTAACTGTAATCTTGGATTAATGTAGGTGTAAAAGAAGCTAGTGCTAATATAGTTTATGGTCTTGGTGCAGATTGTAAAGCATCATCCTCATGAGGTGGGTCGTGAGAGGCAAGTTTTTGTTGACTTCTTCTGCAACCCAGAGCGCCTAAGAAACCAAGTTAGAGAACTTACAGCTAGAGTAAAGGCTCTTCAGGTTTAGAAACCTCTGTTACACTTGATGCAATACTGTGGCCAAGTTTTCTGCCAACTGGAAGCCAGCATGATAAAAATTAAGTCATGTTCAATTCTCTATTCCTGTCAGTGAGAACCCGATTCTTTCTCCTTCTGTTCAACCATCTCGTTGGGGGGAGATTGGTCTAACCTTGTAAATTAGTAAAGCAACTGAATGTTTTTTACCGTACTTTGATGATAAATCCTGTCTGACCAACCTCGTTCTGATATAGTTGTATAGTTACTTCATCTGTTTGCTCATTGTAATTATGAACTTGAGGTAGGTTTGACCTGATTGAGGTGAGACAAGGTTGGGGTGTTATGGGTGTATTTCACCAGCCTTGTAAAATCAAATGGCTAAATTTGGCAGTTCCATGGACAACCAATCAACTTGATTTATAAACTAGCTTGACTGAAATATAGTGAAATTTTGAGCATGCAACTATTGGGCAACTATTTTTATTGATGCTGCTTATTACTGTTGATCTTTGGTCGGGAGTTCATCTGTTCATGATCTTTCACGACTAGATGAGAAAACTATTGGGCAACTTTCTGGTGGTCTGAATGTACGCCAAGTATTGGCATTATGTAGTAAAGATATGTGAATGTTTACTAATATCAATCGGAAAGGGATTACAACGTGCATTAAACTTTAGTTTATACCATACTTGTAATATTGATGTTTGTCTTGTTATATATAATTAATAGCAACTAAAATCACAAAATTGGTCGATCTGATTGGCAGTTTGACTGGTTTACTGGTTTTGACATTGCTGCTGTTAGAAACATTTTAGTTTCTACAAAAAACGATTCTTTACCAGGTATCAAAAATTTTTCTACAGGCTACAGCGCTTTGACTTGGATGTCTAATGTTTTGTTTGAGGTGGTGTTTAGCTTCATTGTGATTATTTTGCTGATGTGTTAAGTTAAAATGATTAATCAATAAGTGGTTTGGCAAATATCGTGTTGTCTATGACTCTATATGCCTGTTAACGTACAAACATCAATACAACAAACTCATTTCAATTTCGTGGGGGTCAATAATAATGCCTACAATTGGGG